CAGAAGGAGAGGCCTTGTTAGCAGAGTCACTGGGGGTGAGAGATCTCCCAGCCAAGATACGGAATGTGGTGATAGCCACCATGCAGAGAAGTTTAAAAGCAATAAGAAAGAGAGGAATTAAAGAGAAACACATAGGAACTGGTGATAGATTAGAATGGGAGAGAAGAAAGGGGCCAGGGTGACTCACTTCCTAGCTCCTGAAATGGGAAAAATGGGAGACCATTTGCGAGAGGGGAAATGAGTTAGTGGAACTTAGAGATTTAATACAGCTTCTCGCCTGTTGTCAAAGATACTTGGGACCAAGAGAAGGTACCAAGTCCCCATGATGGCACTCTGGCTGCAGGCTTCCTCCAGAGGAAATGCCAATGGGTTCTTTGCAGAAAAAGTGCTAGAAAGAAAATGTTTGGCATGGTTGTCAGGCCATATAATCTTTTTGCTTTGATCAGATCACACAGCAGCCGATGAAGGTTTAGTCTGGTTGCTGGACAGAAACTGCCTTGACCCTGTCTTTCTTGGTTGAAACTCAGCCAAAGACAGCAGTAATATCCTTCATTCAGCCTGCTTTTCCCATTTAGAACCAAAGAAAGAATCAAAGCCTATGAGATAGAAGTGGCTTTTCCCAGTTTTGGTTTTTACCAGAAGAAGCCTAAACCCCATTCTGTTTCTTTAGTGGTTGTTGTTGGTTGTGGGGTTTCTTTAGTGGTTGTTGTTGGTTGTGGGGCTTAAACTCAGGGCCTGGGTACTGTCCCAGAGCTCTTTCACTCAAGGCTAGTGCTCTACCACTTTGAGCTACAAGGCCACCTCCAGTATTCTGGTGGTTAATTGGAGATAAGAATTGCACAGATTTTTCTGCCTGGGTTGGCTTTGAACCACAATCCTCAGATCTCAGCCTCCTGAGTAGGGTTACAGGCATGAGTCACCAGTGCCCGGCTTCCTAGTCTGTTTTTACATCCTGCCAGTAGACCTGAGTTTTACTTGTTCAGATGAAGATCATCAATAGAAGCCAACTGTGTTTGTAATGATGTCACTGGCATCGTTGTCACCAGAAGGCAAGCATCATGTGTGAGGAGAAACTGGGTATCCCCTCAAGGTATCTACCTAAAAACGAGTGCAGTGTGATCTTCAGATTGTGTCCAGTTCTTAGGCCAGTGTGCGTGCGAGTGCGCACACACACACGCACACAAATACCAAACGTGTGTTACTTTTCTACTTAGTCAATTGCTTATAGCCTTATTTCATTTGAGCCTTGTCATATTCCAGTGAACTATTTTAATTTAGTGATTACAGGTCTGATCCCTGAAGCCAGACAACTTGAATTGAAGCCTGGCTCTGCCACTTACTAGACGTGTAGGTGAGCTCAGTAACTTCAGTCTCCCTTGCCTTGTTCATCAGTGAATGCAAATGACAAACACACCTACTTCAACCAGGTGCCGGCGGCTCACACCTGTAATCCTAGCTACTCAGGAGGCTGAGATCTGATCCTGATTCAAAGCCAGCCCAGTCAGGAAAGTCCTCAAGTCTCTTATCTCCAAAAAAAAAAAAAAAACACACCAAAATGCCAAAAGTCAGTGCCCTATCTCTGACTCATAGACTGTGTTCATCCTGGAGCAGAGAAAAAGGTCCCAGCAGGGCCTTGTGTGTACAGATGGTGAGGCAGGAGGGAGGTCTGTTAACCTATGTCTGAATGCGCCCTTATAAGTGGTATGTCATGCACACTGAGTTAACATTCGTTACCAGATGAGAAGTGGATAAATGTCAATGACTTCCCAAATAGCACCAGAGAAACTGATATTAATGCACATGGCCTGCCCTTCTCCCCCAGCAAATTCTGCTGGTAGAAATGAGTAGTTTAGGATATTCTTTTTTAAATAGAGATTTGCCTGGCCAAGAAATTACTTTCTATGGCCAATTTTCCCTTGATGCCTTCAGTTATTCAAAATCCCTCTTCCCTGTACTTTTAAAATTCAAATTTTCATATTTAAGGGCTTGATAGTATAAAAATAAACCCCACAGAAGCCTCCCTCTTCTCACCCCAGACATTTTCTTCTCCTACTGTTTCTTAGACCATGAAGCCTACAGATAGAATACATTTGAACTCCTGACCTATATTTATATCTGGCCAGCTTCTGTGCCTTTGAAAAACAAAACTGGTCTGGAATAGAAAGCCCTAGTAGATGAGGCTCCCAAGCCTGATCCCCATTGGCTGTGTCAGACCATTTGGCCATCCTGTATGCCGAGCCCTGCTTACTCCATGGCTGCCCCTTGCGTACTGCTGATCGGCTGAGACCCCTGAGAAGAACCTCAAGAGGTCGAGTTCTCCCAGCCTCATCACAACACATCCTGCCAGGGCCATCTGCTCTTCCCTGCTGCCAATAGTTATGTGTCACATTTGTCCCTTTTGAGTCTAACCTTTGAAAGATGTAATGAAGGCTCTTTTAAGACATAAATTACATTACAAGCAGTGTTTTAAGTTCCTTCCAGGAATAAGGACATGCAGTGTGACCTTCAAAAGATGTCATTTAGGTACTAGTGGCACATACCTTAATCCTAATTACTAAGGAGTCCAAGGAGGATCACAGTTCAAAGCCAGCCCAGGCAGAAAAGTCTGTGAGACTCTTATCTCCTGTTAACCAGCAAAAGCAAAAGTGGAACTGTAGCTCAAGTGGTAGAGTACTAGCCTTAAGCAAAAAGCTAAGGGACAGCTTCCAGGCCCTGAATTCAAACTCTGTACCAGCACAAAAAGGAAAAAAAAATTGGAAGGGTAATGAAGACCATGAGGCAGTTACCTGTTACTTTCTTTTCTTCCCACAATTCAGATTTTTTTTTAAAGTATTTTCTAGAAATTTCCCTTCTCAGGATTTGAGGTTGAAATGGATGCCAAAAATTGGAATGAGCAGATGGCCTTTTCCTGAGAATGAGCAGAAGGCCTTTTCCTGAGAATGCAGTATGTGCAGTTTGTTGTAACCCAGTTTTCTACAAGAAAGTGTTGCCATAATATTTAGAGTGAACAGCCTAACAGCTCTAAACTACAAGGTTAAAAATCCCAGGGCTGACGTTGTGTAGCTGTCAGCTTCTCTCATGATCTACCTGAGGAAATAGTAGAGACATTTAGCTGGTCTTAGCCCTGTCCCTTGGGAGCACTAGATGACACTCTGCATGCAGTGCTGTCTCCTGCTGCATTTCATTCCAGTGTCCATGCTCTTCTCTCCGTATGAACGTAGTCCATCGCCCCTGCCAGGCCTTCTTCTGGTGGTCCCTGCCAGATATACACCACAGCCGCCGGCCAGAAGAGCTTTTTGTGGAAAGCAGTGGAGTTTTCCAGGAGAAGATAAGGAAAAAGAACTTCCGATGGGCAGATCATAGAGAAATAAAGATTTTCCTATGTCACTATGATATAATTCCTAACTGCACTCACATGAAAAGAGAAAATATAGGAAGCTGTCAGAATCCTTTGGTTTTACTAGACATAAGACAGACACACACACACACACACACACACACACACACACACACACACACACACACACACACACACACACACACACACACACACACACACACACACACACACACACACACACACACACACACACACACACACACACGTTCTTTTCCCTCAATTTTTAAAATGAAGATATAGTCAAAAGATTGATTGGAACCTTGATTTTTTTTTTTTTTTTTGCAAACCAAGTTTTCAGCTTGAGACATAAAACTTGGCTTAAAAGTGTGTGGATTAAGCTGGAACTTGGTGGGAGTTTTTTGGTATTTGTGGTGCTTGGAATCAAACCCAGGGACGCATGTTATTCTATATATGTTTTCCACATCACTTAACCCTAAGCAAGCTCCAACTTTTTTTGTGTGCAATAAATAGATTTTTTTTTTTGGTTGTTTCTTTCCCGGCTGCCTTAAGCTAGAAAAAGATGAAATCATGAATTTCTCTTGGAGCAAAGTAAATAACATCCATTAATGCAAATGAAATGAGGCTTGAAGTCACAAAGACATTTGTTTTATTCCTTCAGTTAGATGTGCTGGGTATTTGTGTAGCCTCGTCTTATAGGTGTACGTAGATTGTGCATGACTCTGGTCACTCAGAACAGCGAGGTTATGAAACCAAGGCATTGGCTTTCTGGTGAAGTTTGGTGTCGGTGTGTGTAATGGCGGTACAGGAGAGCCCCTCAGTCAGGCTGCCTGCACTCAAGGTAGTCTACCTTATGCATGTGATGTGACAATCACAAAGTCTTCCTGGCCTCACCTGCTGTGTGAGGAGTAGTCATCTCTACAGGATTGGGGGTGGGCTGGGGAGGGTGCCGAATGAGATATGGCACAGTTTCTCACACTGTATATTGCTATGTAGTGACTGCTCTTCAACTAATATTCAGCTCGGTGCTCAGACCTCGGGCAGATCCAGTCATTCTTCTGACTCTTCAAGAAACATGTCAGCCTACTTTCCTGCTTATCCAGGATATCCTTATACCAAACAAGAACATGCCACAAAGGGACTTTCAGTGTGAGTCACTAACAGACCAACTGGAAAGGCAAAATCTGACAATTAGAAAACCTGATGAGACCACATGCAATCAGTCAGGTGTTAGCTTGTGAAGGCTGAATAGATTCAGAAAAAGGCAGGTGTAGCTGCTCAAGAAAAGGAGAGATTGGATGGTTGCTGGTGGCTCATAGCCTGTAATCCCAGATCTGAGGATTGCAGTTTCAAGCTAACAGGGGCAGGAAAGTCTATGAGACTCTTATCTTCACTCAACCACCAAACAGCTAGAAATGGACCTATGGCTCAAGTGAAAAAGCACTAACCTTGAGTGAGTGAAATAACTAAGGGGTAATGCCCAGGGCCTAAATTCCAGCACACGCACACGCCCGCACGGCCTACAGCCTGATTTGGGAATGTGGAAGGCAGGAGCGTTCAGCTCTGCCCTGATGACTACATCATGTGTCTGTGAGGTATGAATCCTGCTGGCTCATCTCTATGTGTATGTCTTCCGTCATAGGCTGAGCTCATTGGAAGCCTCACCCACAAACTTGAGACCCTCCAGGAAGCAAAGGGGAGTCTACTCATGGATATCAAGCTTAACAACGCCTTGGGAGAAGAGGTGGAGGCTTTGATCAGTGAGCTATGCAAGCCCAACGAGTTTGACAAGTACAAGATGTTCATAGGGGACTTGGACAAGGTGGTCAACCTGCTGCTATCCCTTTCTGGGCGCCTTGCCCGGGTTGAGAACGTCCTGAGTGGCCTTGGGGAAGACGCCAGTAATGAAGAAAGGGTATGTGGGCTAGCAGCGCAGTTTAAGGAGCTTTCTCTCTGAGCCTATGCACACACGAGAGGTGCAGTTAGACATGGCCTCTTTTCTCAAGAAGATTGTGGTCATCCTAGAGATGGTAAAATATAAGTGGCCAAGAGAGAAAGTGGCTTCTGCCCTGCCAGGGTGTAATGCCGACCCTTAGGACTCAGAGAACATGTGAGAAAGTGGTTAACAGGTGCCCAAGAGCATGTCCTCCCAGCTGCTTCCACATGATGATAAGTGCTGTGCTCTAAAACAGAGCTGGGCCACAAAGGTAACAGGGGTAATGGAAGGGCAGGAATATAAACTTGAAGCTCCAGGGACTCCGCTGTGAGGGGCCCAGGCACCAGCAAAAGGCACTGAGGCCTCTTCTGTGTTTCCTGCAAGGGGAATCCAGATAACAATGCACTGGCCTCCCTGGGTAAAATTCACCTAAGGACTTTCATTATGTCCCATCTCATAAATCCTTACTATGTACTACATCCATAAAAGGGGCCGGGGTTCCCCTTTTGTGTTTGTTGAAATAGAGGCTCACTGTGTAGCCCAGGCTGTCCTGCAACTCGTAATATTCCACTATGCCCAGCCTGTCAACATGAGCTTTTTATTCTGATTGGTGCTTTGTAAGAACCTGAAAATAGCCAAGCACTGGTTGTTCCCCCCTGTAATCCTAGCTACTCAGGAGGTTGAGGTTCAAAAGCCAGCCTAGGTACAAAAGTCCTTGGACTTCATTTCCAATAAAACCAGTAAAGAGCAGGACCAGAGGCATGCTTAAGAGGTAGAATGCCAGTCATGAGCAAAAGCATGAGGGCCCTGAGTTCAAGTCATAGTGCCAGCACAAGAAAAGAAAAATAAAACTAAACATGAATAGAAATGAGAAGAGCAGGGGCCCTGTATCTGCCAGTAGAGCACAGTAGTTATGCATTGGAGATTACCCATAAGGCTTCGGTGGAACTCTAAATACAGTGGAACTCTGAAATACATAGAAAAACCATTTATGCTAACGTTGGATGTACAGAGTGGTGGGCATTTGCTGTATACTTCTAATGTTTACAATGGCATATAATTTTTTTAAAGGTGAGCTCAAAGTTCTGGGTTTTTTTTAACCTCTAGTTACAGTATTTTGAAAAGTGCCTATATTCACTAGATTCACTTCCTCAGGGCTGTTTTAGGGCTGTTTCTGGTTAAGGAAAGCAGCCTATGAAGATGGAGGTATTTGTGAGGTAATGTTGTACTTTCGCTCCAGGCGTTGCCATATGAGATCTCACAGCTGGCTAGGGGATCACTTTAGCATGAAAAGTCTGAACAGTAAAATGTCATTTTAAAGTTTTTACAGTTTTAATACGAATCCCTCATTTTTTTATTCAGAAGCTGAATAAACCTAGAAGTTGGAAATTAATGTCTTCAGAGCTGGAGAATATTGCAATTGTTCTACATTAGAGAGAGAGCCTGAAATGTCAAAAAAAAAAAAAAATCCCCAGGAAGTCCTGTTAACAGGATCCCTTCTCCAGAGACTTTCAGCCAGTAGACTAGAGGCTGCGGGAGCCAGTATCATAAAAGTACTCAGGATGCCTGGATGATCAATTGCCTCTAAGATTAGACCCCAAAAGCCAGGTCATTACCCCAACCATTTTACCCCCTCATCCTGAAACTACCAAGTGACTTCATAAAGGAGAAAGGCATGCTATACAAGTACAACAACAAGGTTATAAGCTGCTCTTCGAACTATCAGTCTCCTTACTGACTGTATTTGAAGTAATAACCGAGCACTTGAAGTATTTTTTCTTTTGTCATTTGTGGGGCTTGAACTCAGGGCCTAGGCGCTGTCCCTGAGCTTTTGTGCTCAAGGCTAATGTTCTACCACTTTGAGCCACAGCTCCACTTTCTGTTAGTTAATTGAAGCTAAGAGTCTCACACCCTTTGTTGCCTGTGCTGGCTTCAAACCACGATCCTCAGTTCTCAACCTCTTGAGTAGCTAGGATTACAGGCATGAGCGACTGGCACCCAGCTGAAACTTAGATTTTTTGCAGTCCTATATAACATTGCCCTATGGGTGACCTGTCTCGCTCCTCCCTTCCTCCCTCCATCCCTTCCTCTTGCCCTGTGCTAATCTTTTCATCTTGCCTTGGCAGAGCTCTCTGAATGAGAAAAGGAAGGTCCTGGCCGGGCAGCACGAGGATGCGCGGGAGCTCAAGGAGAACCTGGACCGCAGGGAACGCGCCGTCCTGGCCATCCTGGCCAATTACCTCTCAGAGGAACAACTCCAGGATTACCAGCACTTCGTGAAAATGAAATCTACACTCCTTATCGAGCAGCGAAAACTAGATGACAAGATAAAGCTGGGCCAGGAGCAGGTCAAGTGTCTGCTAGAGAGTCTTCCCTCCAACTTCACTCCCAAGACCGGGGCCCTGGCTCTGCCTGCAGACCTCTCGAGCTCAGGGACCCCCGTAGGGCGCTGTGCTGTCACTGGCCTGGGCCCCACATTGACCTCTCCACTTTAACCTCTTCTAAGAGACCCCACCAAAAGATCATCACTTCTCTCAACACTATTTAATCTACAGTGTTTCACTGTCAACTACCATGTAAACTCTGGGTGATTGGGGTTTTCCTGGATAAAAGGAAGAAAATTCTATCCAAGAAGAAGCCTGGGTTTTCCTTCTTGCCTTTCCCGATTGATCTGAGAGCTTGGATGCTGCTGGAAACTTACCCCTTTCTCTTATTACTTAGTATTAGAAGGAAAGTTAGTGAAACTGTGACCAGTGCGTGGATAGTGTTTGGGCATGTAGGTTTTTAACAGACCAAGGCAGCTGAGATCAGTGAGTGTCACCCTCAGGAATGTATCCATAGTGGCCTTCCTCGCTGGTAGGCAGCGTGCCCTGATAACCGGGTACACATACCATACATGAAGGGTCAACAACACAAAGCCTTAAAAAAGACACACACGCTGAGAAGGAAGTTGTAAAGCCTTGAACTTTGTTATTATTTATATTTTTAAAAATGAAGATCATGATGTCTGTGTGCTAACCACTTATTTGATTCTGTTTTGTGGTGGATGTAGACAACTATGTTTGAACTTTGTACTTTGTGAAAACCTTAATGAAGAATTCCAAAGACAGCCGCATCAAGCGTGGAGACTCGTTTTTTCTTTCCTTGTTCTCGTGACTTGTCTGATTATTTTTTATAAGTATCAGCCAGTATCCTATACTTGCATTCAACTGAGGGAATCCGAGTTCCATTTCTGACTTGGTCAGAAATGTACCTGTACCAATCAGTACCCCCTGGCTTTCTCAGGGGGAAGAGTTTAAGCAAAATGCTTATCCCCGTGTTTCCTAGTACTAAATTTTCTCAAGCCTCTACAACTGGAGAAGGAAGTTCAGCATTCAAACCAATTCAAAACATTCATGCGGTCATCCCATACAATTCGCTCTGAACTATTGCTGATTTAGTGAGATATATTTATCAGGCTATTTCAATGATGGTTTTTGAAAAGTTGTTTTTACTAAATTATCAAACCTATCAATTATACTTTTAGTATAACCTCTGGATTTGTACCACGGTGGTTTGCTGGTGACAACACAGGGATTCTGTTGCCCAACTTGGCAGCATGTTAAACTGGAAGGTGGGAGGAGGAGGCTGCGGGCCACGCGCCAGGCTGTTTCTAGCCACTGGAGATGGCAGGAGCCTCATACTTTGAGCAGGTGGTTCCTCCTGAGCTCTTGGTTTGCCCACATGTTTGCTCAGAGCTGGTAAAACACCAGAAAAGCCAGGCGCTGGTGGCTCATGTCTATAATCCTAGCTACTCAGGAGGCTGAGATCTGAGGATCACAGTTCAAAGCCAGCCTGGGCAGGAAAGCCCATGAGACTCTTATCTCCAATAAACTAGTAGAAAACTGGAAGTGGTGCTGTGGCTCAAGTGGTAGAGTACTTGTCTTGAGCTGAATTGCTGAGGAACAGCACCCAAGCCCAGAGTTCAAGCCCCATGACCAACCAAAAAAAAGGGGGGGAGGGGTGTGCCAGTGGCTCATGGCTGTAATTCTAACTACTCAGGAGGCTAAGATCTGAGGACTCAGGTTTGAAGCCAACTTGAGCAGGAAAGGTCTATGAATGTATCTCCCATTAACCAGTTAAAAGCCAGAAATGAAGCTGTGGCTCAAGTGGTAGACTGACAACCTCCAGCCAGTCAGGCTTGGACAGCACCCAGGCTCTGAGTTCAAGCTCCAATACTGGAGCATATGTGTGTACACACACCCCAAAGATACACCAAATGCCCTTTTTTTCCTTAGTTATATTTTTATTGCCTAATGGCATTTTTTTTATCATCTGGTTAAGAGATCAAGACTTTAGTTTCATCCCAGTGCAGATGGCTTATGATTAACTTAGAATCCACACAGCACCCAGAAGTTTCTGGTAAACAACCAAAGCTATTGCTTTTCTTTTCAGATGACATATACCGTGTGGTGCCCTTCGTAGAAATGGATCAGCACCTTGCTTTCCCAGGAATGGTTTTGAAGGCTTCACACATTCCCAGTCCCCATCTCCCAGGACATCTGGACAGGCAGGGACCACAGTCCATAGCCACACTAATCACGAGAGACAAAAACTGTATCTGGCTGACAAGTCCTTAGAGTTGGGCGAAGCCAGGAGCCTGGAGTCCACCTCACTGGGCCCTCAGGTCCTGCAGTGAGACCAGCTTGGAGCTGGCCAGCAAATGCCTGCTTCTCAGGAGTGGACTGGAGCATGTTACACATTCCATTTTCCTGGTGACTTTTCTAATTCATCCATGAAGAAGTGACTCCCACAGCAGAGTGACAGCTGATGATTGACAGGCCACAGCCCATGTCCCTCCCCTTCATCACAGTGTGTTGTGTGAAATGAGTCAGGTACCAAAGTGGGGCTTTGAAATCTGATTCTCAGGGAGAGGTGACATGTATTGGGACTTAACCTCTGTGCTTTGAAGAAATGACTAACTCGGCTTTCAGAATTTACCTTTGATGCTTGTAGGCAAGAAAAGAAGCCTGTGTTCTCATCCCTTCAACATTTTGCATTCTTCTCCCTCTATTCAAACGTTCACATCAGAAGCCCTTCCTCCTAACAGGATCCCCCCAGAGAGACCATGAGAGCAGCCGCAATGTGCATTTCAGAACAAATCTGAAATCACTGAGCATGCTTGTTGGGCATCGGTCATTTCAGCCATGCTTCCTATTACAAATTAGGTGGGATGTTGTGTAATACTCAAATGATACAACTGGGGGAGGGGGGGAAGGACAATGTCCTGCCACAGAGTCAGCAGGTCTGCCTGCCCTGGGCCACGCAGGGAAGTCCTGGGCCTGTCACTACCTGCCTGGTGACTCCATCTTTTCTCGTGCTGTTTTGTTTCTTGTGGCTGCTCAGCCCCAAAGAATGCAGGGAGGAGTCACAGAGGAAGTGTCTGGGTTTCTCTGAGACACTATCGAAACCAAACAGTTTGTATTTTGCGGCAAGGGAACATTTTACATTTCATTTTGCTCAACTGGCAGATTCGCTAGTCTGAAAGATTAGCCCGTTTGGGTTAACCCTTAAGAAACAGTGGCTACATTTGAGGTGAGGAGTTAAGAGCTTGAAGGAGGTCCCCTGGGAGGATTTAAATCCCAACTCCCCTAGCAATCCATTGCTAACATCTGATCTAAAGTCACTAGAAGTTTAATAATTAAAACATATGCCTGGAGGTCTACCTTTAGTTATAGTTTATATCAGTACTGGGACTTGAACTATGGGCTTGGGTGTTATCCTGAGGTGTTTTTTGCTCAAGGTTAGCACTCTGCCGCTAGAGCTACAGCTTCTCTTCCACTGCTTTGCCCACTGATTTGCACTCCCTGGGCAAGCAAGAAATAGCCTGGGCATGCAAATGCATCAACCAACAGAATGACCATGCCTACAGAAAAGGTGGCCACTCAGTGAGAACCCTCTGGGTTGCAGGTGACCGGGAAAGATTAGAGTTGGCATTGGCATTGAGCCCAGGGCACAGATGGAGACAGGAATCTTTTAAGGCTTGGGTTCATAGTAGGCACAGGAGAAAGTTACCAACAAGCTGGAGCTGTAAGGTACTGGGACAACACATATTCTAGGCATAGGAGATGGAAAAGAATTCAATTAGATACCCTCCTGCCCACACCACTCACCCAATCAAGCAACAGACTCTAAGGCTAACAGCAAGACTGCAGACAGCCCTCAGCTTATAATGGATTAACTTATGACTTCTTAAAAACTTAATAATGGTACAGAAGTGCATCCATATAGCCATTTCATTTCACTTTCAATATAGTATTCGGTAAATCACATGACTCTTCAATAGTTTGTAAGTCTTCTGAGTCTGGGCTAAGCTAGGATGCTCGGTAGGTTAGGTTTATCAAGTGCATTTCAACGTACAGTATTTTCAACTTGGAACAGATTTAATGGAACATCGTCCCATTAGAGGAGCCACTGTCTTTCTTCCCCTCTTACTGCTCTAGCGCCCTCTGCTGAGAAAGAGGAGTATGGTGCTCAGTGTGAAGGAAAAATTTGCTCCATCACCTTAGTGAATTTAGAGCTGAAGGGCAATAAATTGGTAATGGGCACTGATACATTTTTCTAGATTATCACCTTCTGGAATCACTAAATTTTGTAGTTGCTGATTGGCTAAGAACCATTTCTCAAAGAAAATAACACGTATCAAGAGGAAAGCCCATTTCTTGAAGGAGAAAAGGTTAAAAAAGACAAGTTCCAATGCTCCCTACATCTGCACTATTCAAAATGCCCAACTAATAGGTGGGAATTGAGGCCAGTTTAAGGTGGGTATAAGCTGGGCGCTAGTGGCTCATGCCTGTAACCTTAGCTACTCAGGAGGCTGAGATCTAAGGGTCACTGTACAAAGCCAGCTGGGGCAGAAAAGTCCCCATGAGACTCTTATCTCCAAAATCAACTCAAAACCCAGAATTGGAGCTGTAGCTCAAAGTGGAAGAATGCTAGCCTTGAGTAAAAGAGCTCAGGGACAGTACCTAAGCCCTGAGTTCAAGCCCCACAATGGACAAAATAAAGTGGGTGTGTTATATCTATCAATCTCAGTCTCTGAGCTCTGCTCTTAAAGACCTTTGTGTACTTACCTGTGGGTATCTCTTCTTTCTGTGTCTCTGTGTCTCTTGCATACTTGTCATCTTGTTTGTTTGGTTTTTGTTTTTGTTTTGCCAGTCCTGGGGCTCAAACTCTGGGTTTGGGTGTTGTCCCTGAACCCCTTTTTGCTCAGGGGTAGTGCTCTACCATTTGAGCCACAGCACCACTTTCAACTTTCTCTGTGATCAATTGGAGGTAAGAGTGTCACAGACTTTCCTGCTTGAGCTGGCTTTGAACAATTATTCTCAGATCTTATTCTCCTGAGTGGCTAGGATTATAGGCGTGAGGCACCAGTGCCTGGCATCTTCTTGTTTTTTTCATTCCCAAAATGACTTTTTAAAGAAAAAGTTGGAACAAGTAAAAACTAGAAGAGGAAAACTCTGAGTAAAGTAGAAACTTAGCAATTTTGAGTTGAAAGAAAAAATTAATGTTCAATGATCACTCCTTTGTGCCAGTTCTTATAGATAATAAAATATAACTTCTTACAAAAAAAAAGAAAAAATTAAGCATTTTACATCATTCAAGCTAATATAGAAGGTGTCTAAAGAAAGATTTTTAAATATTGTTTAAGTACATGTGAATAGATGAAAGCTATATCCTTTCTCTAACTGAATGCAGGAGGTGGCCTTGTTCTATAGTATAACAATGGAATAATTGTTTTAAAGGACCAAATCAACAAAGAGGGCTCATGGACAATGAAAAGAAATTTTAAAACTATTTTCTGAAGGCAAAAAGAAATAAAATACACAACCATTTGGTTTGAAATAGTTTGGGGAAATTTTTCATTTGTCTGTCAGTATTGGGGCCTGGACACTGCCCCTTAATTTTTTTGCTAAAGGCTGGTACTCTACCACTTGAGCCACAGGTCTACTTCCGGTTTTAGATGGTTTAATTGGAGATAAGAGTCTCAGTCTCACAGATGTTCCTGCCCAGGCTGGCTTTGAACCATGATTCTCAGATCTTAGCCTCCTGAGTAGCTAGAATTACATGAGTGAGCCCCCAGTGCTCAGTGAGGGGGTGGGGGTGGGGGTGGTGGGGGTGAGGGTGGTGGTGGGGTGTGTG